CCTTTATACTGCTTTTATTGTATCCATAGTTTTGGATGTTTGTATTTTTTCATTTTATTTTCTCCTGAGACTTAATTTAAAAATTTATTCTTAATTTCTTCCTCCACCGCATCAGTGTTCAGGGAGCACATTATGTAATTTCCATACTATTTGTATAGGTATTTGAATGTTTCTCCTGTTACTTCATGTCATTTTATCATTGTGATCAGATAAAATACTTGATATTATTTTGTTCTTAAACTTTTTGTGACTTGTTTTGTGTCCTAACTGTGCCTTCTGAAGCTGTTGGGTAAGGTATTCATGTAAATGTTGTTAGGTCCATTTTGTTCTATGATATACTTTACATCTGACTGTTATTTTTTGACTGTTTTGTCTAGAAGATCTCCAGCCGGATCCCACACAAACACCCCCCCCCCCCCCCCCCCCCCGGCAACGGGCGCGCTCCCCCGACCAGCACCGCCGCGCTCCCCCCTGTGTCCACGACCCGATGTTAGCAATAGAGTGTTGAAGGCTCTAGATATTATTGTATTGGAGTCTACTTCTCCTTTTATATCTAACATATTTGCTTTATATTACTGGGTCCCGTGTTGATGTTAATATTTATAGTGTTATAATTACTGAATTGGATTTTTATCCTTATATAATGTCCTTTTGTCTCTTTTTATGTTTTTAACATGAAGTCTGTTTTGTTTGATAAAGTATAGCTATCTGCTTGGTTTGGTTTCCATTTAGATGACTTCGTTTGATCCCTTACTTTCAGTTATATGTCTTACAAGTAAGGACGAGTTTCTTGTAGACAGTACATAGATGTAGCAATTGTTTTTTACCCATTCAACCTGGTCTATACCTTGTAAATAGGGAGTTAACCTATTTATGATTCAAGATATTATTGATATGTGAGTTACTCCTGTCATTTTATTGAATTGTTTTCTGGTTGTTTTTATTTTCCTTTGCTTCTTGCTTTCCAGCTCTTATTGTTTATCTTTTGTGGTTGGGGTGGTTTTCTATAGTGATAGATGTTTTGATTCCTTTCTCTTTCTCCTTTTGGTATTCACTCTCCCGAGTGAATTTTATAGATTCACAATATTTTCATGATGGCCATCACTTTTCACTTCAATCATGTACAGATTCCCAGGGAGCAGAGCCACACAGAGGGAGCTTGCCTGGACCCATATGTAAATCTCACTTGAGTGTTTTCTCGTAACACACGTTCTGTGTGATAAATTCTCTCAGTTTTTTGCTTATGGTGAAAGATTTTACTTCTCCTCATTTCTGAAGGATAGCTTTTTGGGTAAAATATTGCCTTATCTGACAGTTTATTTCTTTCCAGTACTTCCGAATATATTCATCCATCTTCCTGCCTGTAAAGATTTGCTGAGAAACCACTGTTATCTATACAATACCCTATATATGAATTGATTGCTTTTCTCTTGCTGCTTTTAAAGTCTCATCTTTTACAATTTGACTCTAATTGTGCCTCGAGAAGAACTTGTTTGGGTTGATACTATTTGAATTCCTTAAGCTTCCTGGACCTCATACCCATATCATATCCCAAGACAGAAAGTTTTTTGCTATTGGATGTGTTCTTATATTTTCCATTCTCTTCCTCCTTCTGAACACCATATCAGATATTTGTTTGCTTAATGTGTCCATATATCTGTACACTTTTTTATTCTTTTCTTTTTTCCTTTTTCTCTGCCCATACTATAATTCAAAAGAAATGTCATCAAGTTAAAATCTTTTCTTTGCTTAGTCCTAATCTATTGTCAAAGCTCTTGCTTGTATTTTTATTCTAATTCTTGAATCTCATCTATGACATCTGTTTTGTTCTTTTTTATGATATGTATCTCTTGTTAAACTTTCTTTTCCAAGATCATAATTTTTATTTCATTAAATTCTCTTATATTGGTTTCCAGTTCTTAAATTAATTATTTTAGAATTCATATTTAGATTTCACATTTCCTTATGATTGGGATCTGTTATGGAGAATTATTGTTTTCCTTCAGAGATGTCTGTTTTTCCTGCTTTTTCATGGTTGATGTATGCCTACCATTGTTTCCTATGCATCTGGCAAAAAGTTTCTGCTTCCCAATTTAGAGTAGATTTTTAGATGAAAGAATTATTTGTATTAATCTCTGCATATTGGTTTGTGGAGGACATTGCCTTGGTTCTAAGGATACAGTGTTTTAGTTCGTAGTTTCTTCAGCTGTTATTCACACGTATGACATTTGTGAGTTTCTCAGCATCCTAGGCTGTTTGTGGTGACATTGTGCAGGTTTGCTAGTGGTGGACTCACAAGACTGTTTCTCAGTTTGGGGGCACAGTCATGCATGCAGAGGGTCAGCCAACTGGGTCTGCTCACTGGGGTTGCAATATGGGGCCCTGTTACTCTGGCCTGGACATGAGCACTAGTTGCTTGGCTGCCTGGGCACATGCCCTAAGGCTCCCATGGGCTGTTTCTGGGTGTGGTATGCAGGCACGACAGCTGTCAGCTAGCCTGGGGGGTATGTCTATTAGAGCAACCCTAACAGCTATTTCTTAGGCCAGACAGTTTTTCAGTTATTTATGTATGTCTGCTGGGGGTGGCCCATGGGGCATTTCTAAGGTTCACAACACTGAGCCGGGCTTCAGTCAACCTAGGAGTATACAAGCTAGGGGTGGCTGCAAGGCTCTTTCAGGAACTGGAACTTGATCATAGATGCTCAGCTGGCGTCTCGGAGTTCTGTGGGAAGTTCCCACTGGGCTGTTTTAGAGCCTTGGGACAAAGATGCAAAAACTCTCAGCTGACATAGAGGTTGGCTTCCCAGTGGTCCACAGTTGTTTCTCAGCTCTGATTGCAGGTGCTGTTGACAAGTCAAAGGCTTGTCTGCAGGGTTGAGACACCTCAAGGGCTATTACTCAGGCCCCTGGCTACAGGCACATAGCTCTTTGCCAGCCTGGGAAGCATGTCGCTGCCTCAGAGGTTGAGGGCCTCGAACCCTCCTGCTGGCAGAGGCATGCAGCAGTTTGGCCAGCTCAGAGGCAGGCTCGCCTTGCGTAGACAGCCAAACTGCTCCTCTGATGGAAGTAGGGCAGTGGAGTTGGTTTCTCTCGCACAGACCATGTCAGGCCCATCCAAGGTCAGGCCTGCCTGCTGGGTTGTGTGTTCAGCACTTGTATCGGCTTGGTGGATATAAAGTGAGCCGCAGGCTAGAGAGGTGCTTGACTACTGGCCCCAAAGAATGACGACACTCCAGAGGTAGCTTGGCCTCATATGGTGCAGTCTGCAGCAGCGTGGCTCTCAGGGAGCGGTGGAGTGAGGAGTGCACATTTTGGCACTTAATCTGGATATGCAACTGCGTGAACTCCAGCTAGCTCTCCAGACTGGGAGACTATGGGTATTCTCTTGTATATGGACTGTAATGGTGTTTATGGGTGGCATGGGAGGTGGGGATTTCTGCTTACATTTCACCCACACTGGAAGTCCTCCTGACTCCAGGCAGACCTGATCTGGGTGGGGGATGGGGCTGCAGAGGGTGGCTGCCTCCCCCTGCCCTCCTGGACGTTCTAATCCCACAGTGTGTCCTCCATGCCTCCACGGAACACCGCTCTCCTCCACACCTCCAGTCACATCTCTGTTCATACTTGTTGCCTTGGTCCCCTTCCTTGCGTCACGTAAGGGGACTAATGCCAGCGCGTCCTAGTCAGCTTCCTGCTCCCAAGCTTGGACGTATCTTGAGGCCTTAATCATTCCATCGCCATCACTGTTCCGCGGGGGGATGGTGGTGTGCGCCCGGTCCTGGAAGTGCACACCAAGCACCCGGGGGTTGCAGGGGCTCTGTCTCATTTCTTGTTTTGTTGCCTTAACCAGACATTAATTCTATACTTCTTTAATCCAGAATCTTGTTAAAATTACCTATTAACTTTAATCGATTTATCTGCAGATTCTTTTTATTTTCTTGACTTTTCTATAATTGTTCGATTCATCTTTTTATATAACGTGAATACCATAATCATATTTCTTTCTGTTCAAGTCAGTTCATTGTTATTTTTTTGTCTTACTGCGTGGGTTAGCAACTCCAATATAATGTTCTTAAGCGTGGTCTCTTGTGAGTGGTCTTGTGTTTCTTCCTGGTCTTCAGGAAGAAAGCTTTTGAATGTCACAAGAGTGCTTTTGGCACCTTTAACAAGTTTTTTTTTAAGATTTGAAATTTAGGACAGCTGCCCCTCTTTACCAACGTTATGCTAAGAGATTTATTATAAGAATGTTGAATCTAACAAATGTTTCTTTCGCATCTATTCGAACTAGCATAATGATTTTCCCTTTACCTCTTTAAGTCTGGTGAATTTTATTTTCATTTCTTCTACAGAGTGGGTCTTACTATTTTTGACCAGGCTGAGCTTGAACTCTTGGCTACAAGACGCCCCTCCGTGTCTAAATCTTCCATAGCTGGAACTATAAGGCACATCCCTGTGCTGGCTCAAATTTAATTATTTTTAAGTATGAAATTACCTTCACGTTTTTAGACTAAACACAACTTGATTTTGAGTATTTTTGTCCTTTTATAGTCTTTTAGTTCTATTTTGGGTTTAGCATTTGATCTCTACTCATCAATGATAGTGACTCTTTAATTTTTTATTATAATGTGTGCCCATTTTTAGTATTTGGGTATGCTGGCCTCCTAGAATATGTTGGGAGAGGCTCTTTATCTATTTTTTTCTCAATAATTTTTTTAATATTCCATTATTTATCCTTTAAAAATTGAGGTTCACCGTAAAGCCTCTAGCCCTGAATTTTTCTGTAAACTGTTTTTAATATGCACCATTGTTATATAGAAATGCAAGTATTTATAATTTCCACTTTCTTCAATGTCAGTTTTAATAAGTGTATTTTCTAAGAACTTATTTATATTAATTTGATCATAAAAATTTCTTAACTGTTTAATGAATTGAGAATCTGGTAATGATGTCCCTTTTTCAATTCTGACACTGGTTATTTGCTATACTTTTTTCTTCATTAGTACAGCCATTTGGAATAAATGGAACAAAAGATGAGTAAAAGCACTGCTCAAAATACTACAAAATATTGCAAGAAGAAATTTCAATAGAGCTTTAAAAATGGAGGACAGTGGAGAGATATGCTATGTCTCTAGGTTGGAAGAATCAATGTGTAAAGATGTAAATTCTCCCAGGTTGATTCCAGATCAGTGCAATTCAATCAAAACTCCAGTAAACACTTTGTAGAAATTGATGACCTGATACTGAAATTAATGGAATGGAAAGACGTCGAGTAGCCAAACAATCTTGAAGCACGAGAGCAGAGTTGGAGAGCGCGACAGAAACTGAAGTTATTGACATACTACTCTAGGGCATAGCATAATTAAATAGAAGAACAGAACAGAACTAATCCAAACAGAACTAAATCCCACACAGGTGAGTCCAATTGCTTTTCAACAATGGCACCAGTGAAATTCAATGGGAAATATATGTATTTCAACAAACGGCATTCAAGAGCTAGGAGGTCATACTGCTGTAATCATGACCCATTCCTCCATGCCATACACAAAAATCAACTCAAGATTGGCTGTCACAAAATACAAATTAAAGTTATAAAATATTAGGTGAAAAATAGAAATATCTTTGAACTTAAAGTAGGCAATATTTGATAATGTAACAAGTGATATTGATTAAAAAATAATCAATGTACTTCTTATATAAGATTATTGTCTCAAAAGATACCAGTAACAAATAAAAAGGCAGGCCCAGACGGGAGAAAATTTAGGTATGAAAAGATAGATACCGTGTTTCCCCAAAATAAGACTACCCATAAAATAAGCTAGCAGGATTTCTAAGCATTTGCACATATAGCGCCCTACCCTGAAAATCAGACCTAGTGATGGCGTGGCTACGCAGTGTATCTGCACAACCCTGCATTTATCCCATTTCATCACAGAGCACAAAAGCAGCCTTTCATCTGCCCCTGAGAGCTCTATTGCTTGACATGAGAGTTGGGGCCAATGGTTCTAAAGAAAATAGAGTCACAAGAATTCAGGATGGAATTCAGGGTTTGGAGAGTTATGATGATGTTCAGAAGAATATGATTAACTATATTTTAAATAATGTAGATTGTTGCACTATACTGTAAAAAAATACACATCCCTTTGAAAATAAGCCCTAGGGTGTCTTCTTGAGAAAAAAAATATAAGACCTGTCTTATTTTGGGGAAACACGGTAGATAGAAATAGATAAATATCAATTCTTCTTATTCAGACAGTTACGTTCTATAAAACCAGTGCAAACACTGAATGAATGAATACTAACTATATTGCTCCAAGGAGAACAGAGTAAATCCTTACTTAATGTTGTCGATAGGCTTGGAAACTGTGAGTTAAGCAAAATGACATGTAAAAACTAACTTCCCATAGGCTAATTAATATAAACAAGAGTTAAGTTCCTATGGCATATTTCTGGTCACAAAATATCACAACTTCTAATAAGACCAAACCCTTCTCATAGTAAGCACTGAAATAAATGTGTGCCATGCAAACGTTTAAGAAAGATTATAAACCAAGTAAGATAATTGTTTACCCAATTTTTGGTGAATCAGTGGGTGAGGGCAGTGGTCCTACATGGTGGGTTAAATCCAGGAACAAACGCTTGCAAGCAAAATGTGTTGGAGCAAGTCCTCCCCATACAGTTAAAACAATCACAAATAGAGTGGGCTCATTGGAACCGCATCGTTACTGTGGTATGCCTGTGTGATTATTGCAGATTTTACAAATTTTTATTTGTGATAACTTTTATTCATTCAGTCATTTCTCAACCACTTATTCCAGCCGGGTCAGGTGCCTGAGTCTGTCCCAGTAGCTCAGCGCACCAGGCAGGACCCACCCGTGGACAGGATGCCATCCATGGCAGGGCGCTCGCACTCTCACACACACACACACGCACACATCACTCCCG